TGATGTTTCCTCCGCTCAGGATGCGTCTGAGAATTTTAAAGGGACACTAGCCCGGCCCGTGGCTCAGTGGTTGAGCAGTGATCTGTGAACCGGGGGACCTGGGCAGGGGGCCTGACTTGCTGGAACCTCCTGGTTTATGACTGGTGTCGACCCCGTAGCACCTGTTAGTTATTTTTTTGAGTCCCTTTACTTTATTTTTATTTATTTATTTATGTATTTATTTTGGTTAATCCTCCCCCGAGGATATTTTTCCATTGATTTTTAGAGAGAGTAGAAGGGAGAGGGAGAGACAGAGAGAAGCACATCCATTGGTTGCCTCCTGCATGAGCTCCGACCAGGGCCAGGGAGGAGCCTGCAACCCAGGTACCTGCCCTTGACCGGAATCGAACCCGGGACCCTTCAGTCGGCAGGCCGACGCTCTATCCACTGAGCCACACCGGCCAGGGCCATGTGCCTGCCTTAGTGCATCCGCCGTCTCCCTTCTGTCTCTGCACAGGTGTCGATGGCAACCCCACAGCAGGACCCACAGGTACTGCCCTCCATGCACTGCCACCCGCCCAGGCCCCTGACCTGCGTGAATTCTGGCTGCTCCTTGATCCTGAAATCAGGGCCGAGCGACTTTAATTCTCTCTCTCTCTGTTGCTCATTAACGAGCGCAATGCACTCATTAGCAGTGACAAGAGTGTGGGGTGGGAGCCATGAGGGAGGGAGAGAGGCAGGCGGGAGGGAGAGTGCAGGTTCGCGGGAACGCAGCTCCGGGCCAGTGGGGTCCCGCGTGCATGTCTGCTGGGGACGGGAGGGGGTGGGGGGGTCGCGTGCCCATGCGTGACGGTCCGGCTGTGGACGCTGCGGAGCAGGAACAGAAACCCAGGCGAGCCCTCCACGCGCTGCACCCGGCCTCCCCGGCTGCACGCGGGTGTGACTGTCCAAACTCTTAAAGAGCCGGAGTCCCCTCCGTCCGTCCGCTGGGCACCAAGATGCTCTCTCATCACTGATGTTTCTCTCTCCCTCTCCCTCCCTTCCTCTCTGACGTCACTAAAGGCAAACTCGCGCGTGCGGTTTCCATGGCCTTTGAGAAGAGCATGAAGCTTCGCTGTTTGTTTGGAACGTGCTGATGCGTGTTTTTCTTTTCTCCATGCAGTTTCTTCGGCTCCTGGGGAGCAGCCGCATGGTTCCCACCCACTAGGTACCTTCGCATCGTTACATTCTGTGACGGCGTTTCTTAGGCCGGTCCCGGCATTTGTACCAACATGACTGCCATGGCCCCGGGGCTGCGTGAAACAGGCGTGTGCCCACCAGCGGCCCGCCGGTGCCAGCGTGGTCTCTCCTCGCCAAGGAGACTCACGTCCGCCTGCCCTCGTAGCATCAGGAAGGCCCCGACCCTCACAGGGCGGACAGGGGCCCTTCTCCACGGGACCCTCGGAACCGCCCGACCTCTGTGGCTCGGCATCTGAGAACCACCTGCCTTGGGTTCAGGGGTCGGGTCACCCGGCCACTTCCTCACCCTCTCCCTCTGCTGGCCGTTCCCACCCCAACCTCCTCCAGTAAACGCCTTGTAACGTCTAAGTTCAAGGAAAGCGAAATTGATTTTGTTCTAAGAATTTCATCATGTTCTTAAAGGGACCTGGCTTAGACATGCAAAGCCCGAGACCCAGGCATTCGGCTGAATCGTTTTAAATTTTTGAAGAAACAGCCTAAGAAATGGCACCCAAAGAGGACGAAGCAGTGGTGTTAGGGGCCTGAGCCTCCTACGCAGCCAGCGCATGGCTGGGCTCCTGGAAAGGAGTGGCCCCTGAGGAGAAGGTTGTAGTTTGTGCCAAATCTCAGATACAAGAGAGTCAGGCCTAGGGTGTCCTCGGGGCCGCGTGCTGCCCGGACAGCGAGCGCCGGGTAGGAACCGCTAACGGAAACGCTGTCCGCAGATCTGCCCGTGGTGAGGCTGGCGGCCGGGCGGAG